CTGGATACAACATGCTACCAGAATCACTTTCCCCAGAATTGATGATCTTTTCTTAGGGTGTTATATAAGACACATCTGTAGCCACTTCATCTTGCTCACGAAATCATACACCACCACACAAACGGGTCCTTCGGCTATTATACTTTGGGTGGTACATGGTGATGTATGATATTGATAATCTATTGATACCATATTCAAGTCTGACTCTCACCGTGAGATCCTGGCAACAATATTACCTGGTACACGACATATTCAGACACTGACATAAGCATCTTTTTGGAACAACAGGTGTGCCTATCTGCTAGTGTAATGTGACACACATGCAGAACACATGCAGAATCAGTCATAGCTAATTTTACCCCCTCACTGTTGTATGCGCAGACTCCACTTCGCGGTGTCAAGTACTCTTCTTTCGGTGGGCTACTCCACTAAGGCGCTTGTCTAAAAGGACTCACATTCATCCTGCAAACCAACACGACTTGCATACAAGTAGTTTTCACTGTCGGCCAAAGTGCGTGCATTGCACACATTGAGATTCACTCCCTCCGTACAGGCCAGTACAGAGCTGCCCACCAATTGAGTCTGTTTTGCGTACTCAGACTTCTGATTTTCCGTATCTTGCAGTGTTTTGCGTACTGCCGTGTACATTGCATGCATACTTGCACTGTAATGTTTTTTGACACGCACATGCATGTCGGTGGCTGCATTTGGTAGTGTAAAACATGTGTGACTTGCACTCACGACATTATTATTTTTGTGCTACATGTACATGTTGTTGTGGTACGGCATGCACTCGCTTTGGTACAAGACTATTCATCACTCAGCTTACACTTGCAATGCTTCTACACAGCTGATTGATCCTCTCCGATTTTCTATACCATTTGCTCAATTTCTGTAGTGCGCACAAGGAGTGATTTTCCGTACAAATACAGAAAATATGGAGGGCTGGTACTTGGTAGCACTGCTAGTATGGTAGTACCAGGCTAAGCTGGCTGGAAGATCAAATGCTTCTTTGGTTCTTTCAGTCATTTTCACGACATATGTTTTCTTTATCATGATCCCCGGGGTGTGACATTCTTATGAATGCAGAAACTCAGTCTTTCTAACCGAGTCTCACGTGCAATGTGAATTTGTTCTTCTTTTCTTCACAATGCCATGTATCGATTCATCGCTTCTTCCCACCCGAGATCCTATGCAACAGCGATTTAAAGATTGGCTTTATCAAATAGTTAATTCAGAGAGAGAGGATCAGTTGTGGATGCTGTGACAGCATAGAGTGTAGATTGGTGTAAACATCATTGCCCAGCAGAACCGTATTCACAGGGATCTGCGTTTAGCATATGGAAGCTATTTTTTTAGAATTTGTACACGTCCAATAAGCCTGAAGAGAAGAACACCTAACTTAGACTGTCCTAACGTTATCGAACGCACTGCCAAAGTAAAAACAACATTTGAAATGCAAACTCGATTGTGCATGCATGGAGGGCATGGGGAAGAGACTGAGAGGGTGAAAGTGAAGGAAATTTGTTCCGAAATCAAGAGAATCCGAGGAACCCTTGCTGCATTCTTCAGTTCGATAACGTCAGTGGGTGAATCTCAGATGTGTTGTGTGCCCAGACATACAAGTACAGCACTAACCTGAGCATGAGAGCTGCTTGTCATCATCGTGGTCAGGAAAACGAAAGGACGAACGAGGAAGATTGCTGACCATGCATGACGAACAACTGCATATCTAGACGACAGACGGCTTGCCAGAATCAGTCTGGTGTATCTTCAGGAATCTTCTTTCCTAATCGCATTCAGCAGTCAGCTTCGAGGTCAAGAACGCGATGATATTTTCAGAAGGAATAATTTTCAAAAATTTTAAATTTTGGAGAAGAAGCTTCCTTTCTAAAAAAAAAGCGTTCCTTGCTTTCACGCAAGGAGGTGCCTTGCCGGACATGTCGTCGACAGCACAGTGTCGGCAGATCCACGTTTGTAGGCTGCAGACCCGGCAGACGTTTTGATCATCCCGGCCTGGTGGTGAGATTTTGGACCCGGGAGTACTAAAAAGCTGCTCGCATCCCAGGGTGCTCAGTTTCGCTCTACCCGCGCGAGTAGGGGTCCAGGTAACGGGCTCTTTTTCGCGGCATGCGGAGCATAATATACCTCCTGATACGGTTAAAAAAAAGTTGTGTTTGTGTTCTTTTACAATAATTTTCTGCATTTTCTGGAGCCTTTATAGAGATGCCCAAATTCGCTCTATTTCTCGTAAATTTTAAATATTTCTCCCGGGGGAGGTCCCCCGGACCCCCCCCCCCTCAAAGCTTGGCCGGACCACTCCCGGACTCCTTCCTCCGGCCCTGCCGGAACGCTTTTGCTGATGGCGTGCTGTGAGCCTGTGGCAATAGGGAGGTTTAGTTCCCACGTAACGGAAACGCGTACGTGGGTGATCCACGTAAAGTGGATGAAGGGCACCCACGTTGCAATGTTGTGTTTAGTCACACGGAACAAACAAAAGCATGAAGCTAAAGCCAGTAAAGGCCAAAACCTGGTCAAAGACGAAGCTACCCCGGCCTAAGAAGCTCATCGAATATTTTGATTTCGTACTTCGGAAACTTCTTCAGCTGAGCACCCTCACAGCTCGCACAATGCGCTCCATTCTGATTTTCACCCACGTTCTGGCGGAACGTGGGTGAGCCTCCATACACGGTAAGTCGTGAAACAGAAAACGTCTGTACGTGGGTCACTGAGTATCACGTGGTACACCCACGTAAAGTACCCACGGATTACGTGGGACTAAACCTCCCTAATGTGTAGTCGACGGAATGGCCAGAGAGCGTAGTCCCATGTGTATGATGTGGTGTATGGTGTGGTGCATGGTTGATGTAACTAACTTTACTTCCTTGAAATAATTCCTACCAAGATACTCAGATACCTGTAGTGTCTTGTATTGAAGCCTATCTCGAATAGAAGCCTGTTTTGAATACAAGCCTGCTTTTCAAGATACTCTGTCAGCACATAAGCCTGGTTTTAGTGTTGACACACATAGAAATACCTGGTTTGAATACTGTAAAAGCAGACATTTTCGGTGGTGTTTTATTTTCGGTAACTTCGGTGCCAACAATTTTTACCGAAAATAAAACGCACCGAACATTTCGGTACAACCGATACTGTATACTTGTACATGGTAGTACATGTACTAGTACCGGTACACTAACCTGGAAAACGGGTTTTACCGAAAATTTCCCTCTACCGAACCGCCGAATTTGGCCGGAGAATACCGAAAAGATTACACCGCCGAAAATTTCTGCTTTTACAGTAGAAGCCTGCTGTGAATAGAAGACTAGCCCTTACTTCGGCTTCTACAGGAATAAGCCCGGCTTTAATGCGTGACATGGTACCTATGATTGGGTACAACAGTACCGGCGGCAATTGTACACTCCCTGGTACATTTGTATACCGGGTAGTGATTTTACTACTCTCGGGAATGCAAAAAGCCAGACTAGTAGTAGTAGGCAGGTGGCCAAATTTCTCCGTGAACTGTCCAAACCGTTAGTAGTAGTAGTAGTAGTAGTAGTAGTAGTAGTAGAATTTATTATTTTGATAGGGAAGGCCCTACAGACGTTGCCGACTTCAAAGCCACATGAGTGACAGGGTAGTAGTAGTAGTAGTAGTAGTAGAATTTATTATTTTGATAGGGAAGGCCCTACAGACTAGGCCTTGACAGATTATGCTAGCATAATTTTTCGCATAATTCCTACCAAAATCGAATGATCGCATAATTCGAGGCAAATTGCATACGAATCGCATAAAATTGGAATAATCAGCCTGTTCGCATCAAATTCCATACAGTTGTACATGACATGTGAGTCTACAAGTACAAGTACATGTACATGTAGATGCACCAGGAAGTCGTAGGTTTACGACTCCCTTGAGAACATGTCCAGTCCACTACAATCAGTGACGGTCGTAGCTAGGTCAGACGGTGCGTTGACCCCGTTGAACTTTTGCTGCTACAGTACAACGCCCTCTACAAAAATATTCCCCTGTTATTTTGCACAGAACCATTATACATTAGCAACATATGTGAGCATAATGGGGCATAATATGATAACTTTTAGCATAAAAATAGCATAATTCTGCAATATTTTCAGCAATGCGAAAAGCATAATTTCACGAAAATATTAGCATAATCTGTCAAGGCCTACTACAGACGTTGCCGTCTTGTTACAGGGAACCCTAAGTGCTCTTTACAGAGCGAAACAAAAACGTACATCATGTGGAGATCACTAAGTGACTAATCTGAACAAGTTTGGCTTGGTTTGGTTTGGTTTTTATTATTTCACTGTCCCCGGGGAAAATTGCGGAAAAAAATCGCAAAAAACGCGGGGAAAAACGCGGCATAATATGGCATAATTTGCGGTGAATTTGCGGTAAATATGCGGTAAATATGCGGTGAACAATATTGATGTGCGGCAATTTTCAGTGAGTATGTAGTGAAATCAATCAGTTACAAGTCTCTGGTGTAAGCACTCGTCATATTTGAGTAAAAAGCCGCCACGATGAGACGTTGCTGAGCGAACAGTGCACTGTGTGTACAAGGTGTACGTGTAGTGTAACAAAAAAGTTCAAAAAACGCGGGAAAATCGCGGAAAACTCGGTCTTTTAAAAAATCGCAAAAAACGCGGAAAAAAACGCGGCCGCGGAATTGCAATTTTCCCCGGGGACAGATTTCAGTTCGTTACACCGGTATGTGCTCTGCTGCTCTTGTACACACCTAGTACCTGTGTCACTGTAGCTCAAGCGCATGCACTATCACCAGATCACAGGTACTGAGGTAGGAGTTCAGGACCCGTAGATCTACCCGGGACCATGCATGGTCCAAGCTGCAAAGTGCAAGGTCATAATAATTATTGTCCTTACGTCATGCATGCTCATAATGACGTCTTTGTTTTGGAAACAGACTCAGTGTGTTCCGAAAATGTGCTGAACCTGCATGTCACAGAGTCAGTATCGTGTAGATTCACTTCAAAGCTAGCTGAAAAGTCAATGAACGGACGAGACGAACCTTGACACATTGAGGTTAGGGCTTTTGGTATCAACTGTGAGCTGCGGACTGACTCACAACGTGCCGTGTTTTACCAGGCGTGCCGGGATTTCCAGACTTGCTCGGCAGATAAGTGAACCTCTGTAAAGAGTTGCGACACACTTCCAATCTCTCTTGTGAACTTCCGTAACATCAATTTTCGCTTTTCGAAGATCCTCCGTTCGTGTTGTGTACCATGGCATTCAACATGGACGAACCCCCACCGTATGATGCCATGTACCCTGAGAAACAACCCCTCCAGGACTCATCCTTGGCCGCTATCAACCAACAGCAGTTTCACCAGGGACCTTCACCTCAGCAGCAGTTTCATGGTCAGGGTCCACCACCTCAGCAGCAGTTTCATGGCCACCAGGGTCCGCCACCTCAGCAGCAGTTTCAAAACCAGGGCCCGCCACCTCAGGAGCAGTTTCATGGCCACCAGGGTCCACCACCTCAGCAGCAGTTTCAAAACCAGGGTCCCCCACCTCAGCAGCAGCAGCCTTACCCCATGTCTGCACAGGCCTACCCCGTTGCGATGCCTGTGGCCAGTGTGGGCGGACAGGCCTATCCAGGACCAGCAGCAACGACTACCGCCACGACAGGTAGGTAGTGAACCGGTTTATGGTTGTAGTCAGGATCTAGGAGCACTGTTTCCCGTACGGTGCGTCCTGGCCTTGTTCACGCTGTCATCGTGAAAACAGGTAGGGGTAGTGTAGTCCGTCAGGGACCAGTGTCAGAGGGGGGGGGGGGGGCTTTATATCCACATGTACACGGATGAGTAAGATAGAGTGCATACTTCGAAGCACAGCCATGCACATGCACATTTAAGAACAGACCGTACGTGCACACGGGAACTGGGTCATGGTGTGATACACCTCTACAGAAAAACCATAATCAGTTCTTCTTTCATCAGGAGAATGAAGTCAATGCAGGTTATCTCTTGGCGAACAGCGCTGGCAGAAAATCCAACAGAATTTGATACGTTTTCTGGCACGTTCCATGCATGTTTTGTTTACGGATTTCAACACTTTTCGAGCAGAATCTGCTGAGTTTCGATCATTTTTTTTCCGCGGTCACACACTACTTTGGCACTACTGCATAATTGATATAATCAGAAAGTAGCAGCCCTGTAAATTTAACATGAGACTACTACAGTTGCCCTTGGTTGAACCACCTAAACTAGGCTAAAGTGCATATGGGGTGCCCTGAACGTGCACTGCACGGCCCTTACCACCCTGACCCTTACCACCCTGGCCCTTACCACCCTGGCCCTTACCACCCTGGCCCTTACCACCCTGGCATAGTTTGAATGTTGCTGGATGTACACGAGTACAGATACGGGTACAGTGATGTAATCGTAGCTGGTCCAGAGCACCAGCTTTGTACTTTGGTTCGGATTCCACCTAGCGCAACTGTGTATGTGCACTGTAGTCGGGGTGTAGTAAAAAAAAAAAAAGTCGGGGTGTATGTGTGGGTGTATGTGTGTGTGTGTGGGGGGGGGGGGTATTGAGTGGGCTAGCTGCGCTTCACTGCATGCTCAGGCGAGTGTACGTGTAGATATACACGTAGCTGTAAGTTCTCCATGGATGTGGCGAATGGAATTTCGGCCTTTTGGCCTCTGGTTGGTGGATCTGATCTATCCTCCACCGCCGTTTAGGAGCCGCATCTAATGCCTGGTCATGGGGTGGTGGCTTCCCGCCAAAGCGGAAAGGTGGTGCTTGACCTGCCCTGTACGCGAACCCGTGCGATTTTTTTGGTAATTTCTCACTTGATGATGTCCTGTTGTCCCACATGCATCACTGTCTTCTTTTGTATGTTCTCTCGCGTCTAGTGGTGATCACCGGGCAGCAGCACCGGCATCAGCGTCAAAGGGGTCAGAATCCCAACATCCCGCTGACGTGCTGGGGAACGTTTGAATACGTTCCCGCTCTGCCCATGCCGCTCGCTATTCTCGTCTTGATCATCAACATTGCCACGTGTGGCATTGGTGAGTCAGCCACTCATTCACACGGCAAGGTGTAGATAGGAATGATGGTACAGTAGAACCTGTCAAGGCAACCACTCGGATAAGGCGACCACCTGTCCCAGAAGACCACTGCAACCAGCACCACGAGATGCTATGTACTAGTATTTTCCAGTCAAATGTCCCTGAATAAGGAGACCACCTGGTATTGGACACCACGTTTTGAAGGTCCCTTGAGTGGTCGTCTTAGACAGGTTTCACTGTACTTGCTCTGTAGATCTGGTAGATGCTGCCAGATGATTCAACGGGGTTTTCACAGGGACGCCGGGCGGTATTAGGGAAGTTTGGACACACATAATGTATACTCGAACGTGCTTGACGCACACAAAGTATGTTCATACAATGAACCCACGTTCGCAATGTTGTGGCTGCCTCGAAGTAGTCACACGGATTCCGGCAAAACTTGTGAATGCAAGTAAAGTAAACACGTGATTTCGGACACAAGCGAAAAAACATCGTGTGTGTTGGGAGGGGAGGGGGGGGGGGTAATTTAAAAAAACTTTGAGCCCAGATCAGTGCAAGTGCATGTTATTGATTCACAGGGTACCTGAGGAAAAGAATGGTATCGCCAATACCGTAGTGGTCGTGGCGTGCCCGACGCGTCTGCTTCAGACTTTGAGCTTTCACTTCTCTCAGTAACTTCCAATCTTAGCGTGTGAACTTGCGCTGTTCCCCTGCATCTTTCCTTCTGTGTCTCGCCCTTACAGGTACTATTCTTGGTGGACTGTTTTTGGCCTGCATCGGTAACCCGTATCGTGTCCATCAAACCAAGGGTGAAGTCTTTGGCTGGTGCTTTCTGCTCGGCTGTGGTCAAGTGCTCACGGCCCTGTTCTTTTTCATGGGATGGTTCTGGGGCATCACGTGGGGAGTCATATTCATCACCTGCTCAGGTGAGTTAGTCGCCTTTGGTCTGTGTGTGTGTGTGTGTGTGTGTGTGTGTGTGTGTGTGTGTGTGTGTGTGTGTGTGTGTGTGTGTGTGTGTGTGTGGTGTGTGTGTGTGTGTGTGTGTGTGTGTGTGTGGTGTGTGTGTGTGTGGTGTGTGTGTGTGTGTGTGTGTGTGTGTGTGTGTGTGTGTGTGTGTGTGTGTGTGTGTGTCCCATATGGTGCAGTGGTATGTGCAGCGATTTCCAATCGATAGGTTGCGGGTTCGATTCCCGACGATTATGGTCGCACACGTCTTTCTTCTCTTTCTCATTCTCCTAGCTCTTCTTTCCTTCTCCTGGGTGGTTACCAACGTATGCCGGAGTATGTGGTGTGGCGTGTGTGTGTAAAAAAATGGAAAAAAATAAAAAAAAATAAAAAATAGGGATTCACTGGCCAGAAAAAGCCACTTCAATCAGCTGTGTGGTGGATACCAAGCTAGAAAATAGTGGCGGTCAATTCATCAGCCTTGCAAGCTGTAGAATGGTGTAATCCCAGCACAAGTTGCTATGTCTAACATAGCTGTTCGCTATCATCGCTTCGCGATGGGCATGTCTGAGGTCTGGGGTATGTGTGTGTGTGTGTGTGTGTGTGCTGCTGCTGCTGCTGCTTTGCGCTACCTTGATGCTGAACAGTTTGACAGTGATGCCAACATGACAGTTCAACTGCACTCGGTGAAATCAGACCCAAAGCGTAAAGCTGGCGCCCTGTATTTCACCAAGCGCAACTGGATGACATTGGCTGTAGGTTAGTGTCCATCGGTGAGTCGTTGTATCTGCATGTCGGACTAGGGAGATGGCACGGGGCGAGTGGAGCGTCACAATGATGTGGTTTTCGCTTCCAGGCTGTGCGCTCCTGTCACCGATCGGACATGACCAATTTAAGCATACGCGTGTGTGCTTGTGTTTTGTGCACTTGACTTCCATTTGTTGTTGTTGTTGTTGTTGTTGTTGTTGTTGTCGTCGTCGTCGTCGTCGTCGTTGTTGTCGTGTGCCGTTGCAGGTCGTTTCTACAAGAGACCGTTTGATGCGTCGCAGACAACACTGGTGGCTGGTGCAATTCCATCCGCACCAGTCCATGTAAGATGATGGGATTCATCACCGGCTTTTGCTCTCCTAGACTGCAGCTGATCGCCATGACGAAATTTCTCTCCTGGCTTTCCAAGCTTAGGATGATGCTAGTGACGCTGTGTTGACTTGCGCATTCTGGTCTTAAAATATGCATGGCAGATGCTAGCATCTTTCCTGTAACGAGGAGTCATTTTGTGATGTCTTTAGGCAGACAACAATCTCTGGCATGGACAGTTACCGGACTTCATGAAGCAGTGCAAACATTTTGCCAACCATGCGCCTGGACCTCATCATGGCTACTCCCAGTCAGCACATGGCTACTCCCATGCAGTCAGCAATTGGCTGGTTGCGAAGGCTACTGAACACTGAGCTGGGCGTTTACACCTGTGCGGCCCCGTACACAATGCTCACTAGACCTGGCGTGGGTGTTGCACCCCGGACGGTCATGCTCTGCAAACACACACGGTGACGCACACACAGTGTGTGCGTCACCGTGTGTGTGTGTGTGTGTGTGTGTGTGTGTGTGTGCATGTGTGTGCATGCCTAGTACTTTTGTAAGCCATTTTGGTACACAAGTAACCACCTTAGACCTATATGTAGGTAGCCTTTCTTGGCTGGGATGTAGCATCTCCAATGTATTGTTCGCTGCTCATTTATAACTTGTACTTCTTTATATTCTACAATACTCCTTGATTTTTCCGATACATTCTAGAGCTGTTCCTGTACCATGAGCAATGATTTCGACCAATATCCTTAAAGGGGAAGTTAAGGCAAAAATTAAAATTTCACCAGTTGTAGTCTTCGGGGTGCTGAGTCGAATGGTCGTGGTCCGAGGAAGCTGAGACGCTCCCTTCCTACTTGAATCCCAATCGAACTCGCGCACTTCCACCGAAACTGGGTGACTGCGCCCTACGAGATGGGGATTTGTATGCAAAATGTCACTAAAAGCGCCATTTCGTTCTTATAAAAGCACGGATGACCGCGATTGGCCCATATGTTGTAGTCTTTTGGACGCTGAGTCGACTGGTTTTGGTCCGAAAAGGCTGCGATGCAGCGTTCCGCCTTTATTCCCAATCGAACATGGTTGAACAAGCGGTCACGTGCTCCTGCGTACGCCAGTCACCTGGTCACCGTGCCTGCAGGGTACAACTTACTAGCCTGTTTGACCTTTTTTGGGTGCAGTCCTGTCACTCGAGTTGAACTCGAGTTGAACCTTGGTGTGAAAGTTGTCACCTGCTGGCGTGGTGACCAGGTGATTTGGGCACCCAGGAGCACGTGACCACTTGTTCAACCATGTTCGATTGGGAATAAAGGAGGAACGCTGCATCGCAGCCTTTTCGGACCAAAACCAGTCGACTCAGCGTCCAAAAGACTACAACATATGGGCCAATCGCGGTCATCCATGCTTTTATAAGAACGAAATGGCGCTTTTAGTGACATTTTGCATACAAATCCCCATCTCGTAGAGCGCAGTCACCCAGTTTCGGTGGAAGTGCGCGAGTTCGATTGGGATTCAAGTAGGAAGGGAGCGTCTCAGCTTCCTCGGACCAAGACCATTCGACTCAGCACCCCGAAGACTACAACTGGTGAAATTTTAATTTTTGCCTTAACTTCCCCTTTAAGGCAGAGCTCCATCCCTGTGCGCGTGTGTGTGTGTGCGTGTGTGTTTTGCATCACGTGCATTTGGAGCCCTGCGCCAACCGGTTTTCAATGACAGCAACCTTTCCCTTGCTACGAAGCGGCCTGTGTACGAGGAGGGGTATGTCTCTGCTTCTGTACTGTGCTGAGTGCTGGGTGCCGTTGAAGCCCGACCTTGATGCACTGTGCTCTTTTCATCTGCGCTGCATCCGTTCCGGAATGTCTGAGACGAACTACTGACCAGGGTTGAGGTTCTGGCGCGATGGAATCAGCGTCAGCCCCGTGACATCCCCAGCCT